TGTTATATACCTCTGCATATATATATATCATATAAGCCTATTTATAATTCATTATTCATATATCTTATTCCTAGCCTCATTTATATCTTGTTGTAGTTATACTTCAGGGATAGACTTATCTAATTAGTTAATTCGCTTATTTTAAATCGATTCTATATTAGCATAAGACCCTAATCACACCCCCCTCTAGGTCTAAACATCTATTCGCCGACTCCTAGCGGGTCATATTTCGGGTACCCAGCGTATGAGCAGTCGTATCGGCTTGACCCGCCAGGCTTGGAGGTCGCGATTGGACCCCCCAGCTTGGAGAGTCGGATGGTCGTTGCTACCCGCAGCTTGAGGTCGGACTAGTGCTTACCTGCAGAGATACGGTCACGATTCGAGACCTACGACATTGCCGGGATTCGGATCGAGTACCCGTAATTGCGGCTCGGGATTCGACGGTGACCCACGTTTCGGCGGTCGGATTGAGTGACCCAGGTGCGAAATTGCGGTCGAATCGATGTGACCCCTGTTTGTCGCACCTTTCCGGCCCCGTCTTGGTACTTGCGCCTCTAAACATTAGATGTGCTTCTTATTTTCCACTTCTTCCCTCTGCAACTTTTTAGCCTCTTGCATAAGAATTCTTGCATGTGCAAGCAATACGCGACGCCTTTGGATCTGCTCCTAAAGAGTTGAACGGGTCCTTTTAACTTGAACCCATTCATCCGTTGATAATTTGGAGGAGAGGGTATTTGTCCGCTGTTGGAGCGCTTGACATTGCCTAATTTTTAGATCCGCCTCGTAACAGATCTCGTCAATTGACTCCTAAGCTCTAGCGAGTTGGCGTGCGAGGCGTTGGCGCTGCCTTTGGTGAGCTCTCTTCGATAAAGTAGGCGCGCCTTCTGAACTCAACTCCTTGATTGAGGACGAGTTCAGATCTGCAGATCTGGACTCGTTGGAGGCCGGAAGGGCATTGCAAGGTTCAGCTACCGCAGCAACGGGGGCATTGATCTTCCTACACTTGCGAGAAGTGGAGAATCTAGAGGAGGAGGAGGACGAGAGGTATTCTTCATACTTCTGTTGGTCGAACTCGTATTCGACCACCTCTTCAACCGGGATCTTAATCATCAGTTGCGACACAACGGCCTCGGTAGCGAGACCGTTGGTTCCCACTGTGGTCGCCAGTTTGTTTGCGTCAAAAATTATTATATTCATTACGGTATTCATTACAACTTCGGTCGTTATAATGAAAACAAAAAGATAGTCTTTTTATAAGACTTTTACACAATGAAAACGAAAAATACAATTCTCGTCAAACAAAACGCAGAGGATGTTTATCACCCGCTGCTTTGCGTGGGATCTTTGCCTATATCGGGGTTTATCCGTGGACGACCGTCGATCAGATCCGGTTGTTGAAAATTTGGCAGAGCTCCTACCTCACTAAGGAGGTATTTGCTTGAAGCACTGAAATCGACCAAGCAAAATCAGTAGCTCTTCTCGAGATTAAGACAAAGCCTAATCTCAACGAACGGACGTACGTGGCTTCGATCCTTCGAATAGCTCCTTCTTTATGCCGAAGTTCGGCGGGATCTGATTTGCCTTCGCTGAAATTCGTGCTCCTTGACTCCTTAATCCAGCAGTACCTCCACGTCTTGATAATAAATCGCCCCCGCTGAAAGGAGGCATTAGGTTTGTATTTATAGGGCTCCGGATGGGGGTTTTGGGATAAGAATGATGGATTCCTCCTTATCTTCAGTTAATAACTGATTAACCATGTTTAGAGATAGGATTTAGGCAGTTAGGAACCTCTGGAACTGAAAAGATCTCGTGAAAACCCGTCGAAACCACCAAAAACGGGTTTTCAGGTCAAAACAGCGCGACGGGTCGCGCTGACCCGCGGGGGCGCGGTCGCCATGTTGGCCACGTCTGCCAAACGCGTGTTGGCCCGTGGCCTGGGCCGATGCCAGAACCGACCGGTGGTTCGGCCGGATGGCGAGCCGCCCAGCCTCGGTGTCGCGTGGCCTTGGACGACCCGCGACCAGCGCTGGGACGGTGGGTTGGCCATACCCGCATAGGCACGGGTGTGTAGGCATATAAATTGCTTTATAGGGTTCCGCTTCACACGGGTTTCACAACACGGAGACTAATAAACCATCAGGGCTTACGGTATTCTAAGCACGAACGTCAGGTCCACAACACCTGACCATGAAGTGACACGCAACGTAACGGATTACACCAAAGGCGCCTGACGAAGGCTGAACGAAGGCCGCCGCTTCCGGGCCGGCTTCTGAATCGACGCGAGATGAATCGACTCGCGTGCGAATCAAAGTACAGATCGGGGGGTCCAGAGAGCAACGAGCAGGGGGATGCCGGAGCCGAGTAGATGGGGTTAAAGCGGAGGGATTCGAACTGGAGACAGCCAAAGCCTGGGTCGATTTACTGCTTGGCACGAATCGGACGGGACCAGGGATCTCCAAATCGAGAACAAGGGTCAACGAATCTGCATTCAGACCAATCAACCGCATCATTTCCGAACTTAATACGGACGCATAGTCGGGAATACGGGAGACCAACAGAAATTCAGTATAAGTAGGATGTCATGATGGGGTATCGAAATACTTAAGTTTTCAAACGGTTATAGCGTTAGTATGTGCAGTACAATGCATGTTCCGAACGGATAACGGGTCAACGCTCAAGCTAGACCCATCCAGTTTCACTCTTTGATACTGCCGAAGGCAGACCACACCCTCGCAGGCTTTCATACCATTAAAATGAGTCATGGTTCATCCCATTCAGAAGGGCTCAATAGCCACGATGGAGCAACCTCTGACGATGCAGTGTAGCATTTAACTCATGCCACTCCTTCATGTATTTGAAAATATTACTGAAATCTGAAATGATATTAAAAATTTTGAGAGGAATAGCATTATGAGAAGGAATCAGAGCCCCATTACCAACGAAATCTAGAGTACCCATGGGTAGAATCGTTGAGTGGTCTCGGTGGCGACGCCACCTCAAGGTGCTTGTACTCCCAAGGAAGGCCGAGCCAACGCCCAAATAATTCTGGCTGCGCAAGAAGTCCGAGATTTGTGCCACCTACAAGCGAGGGGAGTAGCTCTAGGAGACACTGGAGTGCAAACACAGTATATTTGCTCAACCTCTGATAAGATATAATAAGTGGATTAACCAGCAATTATCCTAAAAATGTATGTGTGCCATATAGCGCACCAGCATACTCATTGATCTGTGTGTATCCAAATCGCGTACAGAATATCTTATTGGTCTTGCTTTATGTTGAAATAAAGGCCTAGTCTTGGAAGGTTATGCTTGATAGTGTCAATTCTATGCATTTAGGTTGATGACACTTTTGGGTGTAAGAACTTTTGGAGATGCGAACTCTTCCGAACGAGTTGAAGACCTAAAGTCCGATCGAGGCTGTAGCGTTTTGTGAGAGCAATGAAAGCTTATTGAGACATTGACGTACTCTGATTTCATGACATTCTCGTAGGAGCGGACCCTATGATCTAACTTAAAAAAAATGATGAGTACACAATGTGCACACAGCGTATGCGATATATGTATGTTTGTAATGAATGATGGTACATCGCGAGACGGTTGAAGTATGGATGGTGTAGTGATCAAGATCTCATGATCACGTTGTTAGCACTCCGATTCTAAGCTTGAGATCTTAGATCGCGGGAGACTGTGTGACGATGGTTTTCCTTGTGGTGATATCAATCCTCCGGCCGGCTGATTGATTCTTGTGAAAATAATACCCGGGGGATTATTACTTGGTATGATCTGTGCTCAGAATCTTAATTACACGACACTCGGGTATTGACCAAGCGTGGAAACATACCCCTGCGCAGGCCAAACAACCACCAAAAAGCTGTGTGGAGCAGCAGGTCAGAGTGAAGAAGCAGTGGATAGGCGGGGGGTGGATGGCTCTCTCGCATTTGTATGAACTCAACAGGCTGAGCCTCGCTGCCGATCTGTTCAC